TTCTCCTGCAGGATCTTTAGGTCCTTGATCGTCTGGATGAAGGTGTCGTGGAGGGCCACAGGACTAAAATCTTCGCTGTTTTGCAGCTCATTATTGGTGCGCCAGGTTAGGCGTTCAATGAATTCCCCCACCTCAAAGGGCTCCTGCTTACGATGGGTTGTGGGATTAGGTTATGGCATATATTAGGAGTATCGGCAACCCACCTGTTCAAACTCCTCCATGTATTGGGACAGCATTATAACGATTTTCTTAGACTTTTGATGATTCGATTTGTGGGAGTTTTCGGCTGCTTTTTCTTCTTCTTATTGTTGCCCGCAGTCAGCTGTTTGGATTGGCGTTGCCACCTTGCCCAGTTTTTCGCTGCTGGCAATGCCCTTTGGTTTTGTTTATGTTTTTGTTTACTCTCTTTGGGAAAATAAATTTAAATATTTGGCGCTTGTTATATAATCGCCAAGCTGCTTTAATTAGGAGAATTGAAACAATTGTTTATGCTTGCTGATCTTAATTAAATGTTTATTATATTATGAATGCGCGCCTTACTTATTGCCTCGTATCAAAACCTTTTTTTTTTTTTTTACAACAAATTGCAATGTGCTAAACAAGTTAAAATTTCAAACATTAATATTTTTTGTATAACCTTTATAATTATTGCGTGGAGTCAGCGATTTATTAAACCTTAGTTACAGTTTGGAACTGAATATGAAAATATGTGAAAAACCAAGAACTTTAATCTTTGCTCTTACTTTTTTTTTGTTTTTTTTTTAGATTTGCGTGGATTTTTCTTTTAGACATTTGTTTAGCAAAGGAAAGCTAGTTTTTTCTTACAAACTGCGCCTGCGTCTGCATCTGCTGCTCCTGGCCCAGCAATGACTGTTGCAGTTGCAGCTGCTGCTGCTCCTGTTGCTGCTGCTGCAGGTGGAGATGAGGATGCGGATGTGGGTGGGTGAGCGTGTGGGAAGTGGAGGGCAGCTCCATGGCGTGCGGAACAATGTTGATGGCACTGGCGGTGCTGGCCGAGGTGGCCAAATCCACGGCCGGCAAACGCGCGCTGTCCTCGAAGGGGGCGCCGGCAGCCATGCTGCTCAGCACCTCCGGCATCGAGGGCGTGTCCACCAGCTGGTGCAGGTTCTTCAGCTCCGTGGAGCGCAGGCTGGCCGACAAACTTTCGCTAGAGGCCAGCGAGGTCGATAACGGGGAGTTTCGCTCCATGGATGAGGCAATGTCTAGGGTTAAAGAAAAGGAATATATACCTTGAGGCATTTTGAAAGCAGCCCCACAGCACTCACCAGTTCTGTCCGTGTCCGGGGAACAGGTGTTGTGGCCAACTCCGCCATGCGGCTGCTGAAGCATCATCATCAGCTTCTCCTCCATCTGCATGATGATCTTCTTCTGCACGTCATATTTCTTGTTCACAGACTGCAAAAGAAAATAAATAAAGAAATTACTACTTAATTTTGCTAAGTTTTGCATTTAAAAAATAACATCTGACAGTCGTTTAATGCTCAATAAATACTAATTAAAAGCTTAAGTATAAAGAACAGCTCAACTGAGATAGGGAAGACAAGCCAAACCCACCTTGAACTTTTCCTCGTACTCATCCTTCACAGTGCTAAGGAGTCGCTTCTGCTCCGTCATGGCCTTCTCGCTGTTGGCCAGCTGGGTCTGCAGGTCGCTGATCTTGTGCTTCATGCTCTCCAGCTGTGATGTCTTCTCATCCAGGCTGTGCCTCAGATCTGAATAAATAAATGATTTTTGATAAACATTCGAGAAGTATAAACACAGGCAATGAAAGCACCTTTCAGTTCCAGATGGCTGCTCTCTTGGAGCATCTGCAGCTCCTCGTCGCGCGCCCTAAAATTGTCAATCTCGGCCAGGCGGTCGCGGCAACGCACCTGCACCTCGCCCATAATAATGAACTCGGCCTCCAGGCGTGCCAGCTCTTGCTTGCACTGCTGTCCCACGTCGGCCTGCTGCTGGGCGTGCTGCAGTTCGGTGCCCAGGCTGAAGACTTGGCCGCGGAGCGACTCCAACTCGTAGTTCATCTCCTTGTGGCGAGCCACCTCGGTGGTGAGGCGAGTCTGCAGGTCGTCGTTGGCCTGCCGCAGGCACTTCTTTTCCTCGAGCTCGTGCTGGTACTTGGCCCGCATATCGGCCATTTCCTCCTGGTGGCTATTCTGGCGCTCGTTGGCAAGCCGCATGGCCTGATCCATCTTGCCGGCCAGATCCTTGTTCTTCGCGTCAAAGTTCTTGAGCTGCTCCCTCAGTCGATCGGCCTCCATCTCCAGGCTGCGCTTGTCCCTGCTCCGACCCATGAGGCGGCGATTTCGCTCGGCGTGAACGGAGCGCCGGTAGCTCTCGTATGCCAGCTGCAGGCACATCAGTTGTCCTTGCTCGGCGTCGAAGCTCTCCTTTGCCTTGACCGCGTGCTTAATGTACTCGTCCAGGATGTCCTGCGGGTACAGAAGGCTGCGCTCGTAGCTGTTCCGCTGCTCCTTGCACTCCAGCAGAAGTTCAATCAGCCAATTTTCGTACTGCGCCGGAGCGCTCGCCACACCATCCACCGTCTGGGTAGAGGCGTGCGTGAAGATCCTGGGCGGCTCCTTGGGTGCTGCTATGGCCAGGATCCGGCCGCTCCTCTGCAGGCGGCTGCCAGTCTTTTGCGTCTTCCCATTCTCAGTCCCTTGCCTCTGGCCTAGGCAATCGGCCTCATCGTCGTCGGTTTCCTCCATATGTTGCTGCAGTCCCGCCAGTGCCGAGCAGGACTTGGCCCTTCGGATGGGGTTCTCTGCCTCCACACTCCAGGTGGCCTTCTTGGCCGCCGTGGTGCTGCTCCCGCCGCCGATGTCGGCACAAGTCCCGTTGCCACTGTAGCTGGCCATGCGGTTTCGACGCTTCAGTCCCTTGGCCAGTTGGTGCATTGATCGGCTGGTGGGCATGTGAAGTCCGCCCACGCTGCACAGACTGCGATCCGTCTCGTTGCACTCGCCGCACACGGCGGCGACCACCGGCGAGCCGCCGCCGAGCTCAGAGTTGATTTCCGGCAGGCTACTGGGGAATGGTGCGTTAGCGTTGGCCGCTCGCTCCACATTGTGCCTGTCCTGGATGACCTGCTGGAGCCGACGCTCGTACATGGTCACCCTGGTGACCTCCAGGAACGTGCTGGCAGTGCCCTCCTCTGCCTCCCGGCTGACGTCGGGGAAACTGAACTGATTTTGCTGATCCTTGCGCATGGGTGACGACGGCTGGCTCGTGGTAAAGATAGCCCTAACCGCATGAGAGTTAACCAGGCCGTGCGGCTGCTTCAGCTCCCTCAGATCCTTCATCGGCGTTGTCTCCGGCGTGGCCTCCACAGCGGCTTCGGGCGGCGAGGAGCCGGTCATGCCCACCATCAGCTGCGAATTCATCGCCGGCTGAAGGGGTAGAATGAACGATGTGGTGGGCGTCAGCGGGATGGCACTGCTAGAGGAGGTGATCTCGTTGTGCGGACTCCAAATCGGACCCAGTTCCCCGCCCGACGAATTGAAGCGGTCGTTCCTCGAATGCTGGAAGTCCCTCAGCTGGTAGCTGTAGTCCGTATTGGTAGCCGAGGTGGTGGAGTTCATGCGACTGTAGCCGGGGGTCAGTGGATACGCATAGCTGCCGCCGTCATCGCCGTTGTTCGCCTCGGGCAGCAGGACGGGCAGGGACAGATTGGCGCACTCCATGACCACATCATGCGGTTCCATCTCCTTCCAGCGCGTATTGTTCAGCTCCGTTTCAGGCGTGGCCGTAAGCAGCATGGGGTGCACGCGGACCGTGTCCAACAGCGGCTTGATCGTGTGCTGGAAAATGCTGCCGCCGCTGCCCCGCTTGATGAACTCCCCCAAATAGGCCATGAAGCTGCATGGATACATGCCGTACAGGCGGTGGAACAGCATCTGCAGGCCCAACTGCAAGTGGACCAGCTTCTCGTCGGGCAGCTTGTTGGTGTTCTGTAGTTTCCACGAGGCCAGATGACCGAATACGTCGAATAAGTCGTTAAGAAAGTTAGGAACCGAATTTGGGATGATCGGCAGCAGGGTAATTATGCACAGCAGGGCGCTCATCAGCGGTACTATCTCTTTCTCGTGCTGCAAGGGGATGGTTGTGAATATCTGGCCGGAATTAATTAGAACCCTCGCCCGCCCGCAAAACTCACCGTGAGCAGCTTGAAAATGCTCTTGATGAGCCGGTGCTTCTCGATCTTGTACAGCCAGGTGGGATGATGGCGCACAACGAAGCAGAATATGTGGAGGCTCTGCACCCGGTGCTGCGACTGCTTGAGGCAGTCGTCCAGCCGATCGAAGATGTAGCCATCGTGCGGGGTCTGAGCCTTGACCAGCACCTCCAGAATGCGCTGAGATCCGGTTTTGTAGAAGTAGTCTAGCATAAACTGCACCACCCACTGGTCTTTGTCTGCGAAGAGAGGGATTCGGATGTGGAATGGTGGAATAGTGATCCACAGCTTGAGTTCACAAGCACTCACTCTGCGTAAACAGCTCCACTAGCTTCCGCTTGGCCTCCTCGTTCTCCAGCGTTATGTTTGACTCCAGGTCGCCGATTATCTTCTCAATGTCCATGGCGGTATCGCTGTAATCTGTTATTTTCTACTCCACCTCTACTCCTTGTCCTGCCGCTCCACTCAGTCGTCTTCGTCGTCGTCGTGGTTGTCTTCTGCAGAGCTGCGTGTGCTTTTTCTCGTCTTGGTCGCTGTCAACTGGGAAACAACAGCGCTGGCATTGAAATTTCCAAAGCGTGGTACGTGTCTCCACGGTTTAATGGAGGTTTTGATGCACTTACCTCTGCTAGTCTCATCTTTTTTACATGTTTTGTCTTGAAAGTGAAAAAGGTTACTTTTTTTGTGATATTCCTTTTGCTGTTATCGAAATCGATAGTTCGCGAAACTCTGGCACCACCGGTTCAATCAAAACAAAATCAGCTGTTTGCGAAAACTTTCAAAAGAAAATCGCAAACCGATAAGTTCAGGACTCTGGCAGCACTGGCACTGGCAAAACAGCTGATTGTATTATCGCCCGGCGATTTAATCAAATAAATGTATTATTCAATAATCCGGCGGCTCGGTACGCAGCCCAAGTTGGCCACCATTCCCAAGCGGTAATTTAACCTATACTTTGAGTTACTATGTGTACTAGTTAGGCTCTCTTATTTCAGGAAATGGAAGAGCGTTCTGGGCCTGGAGGTGCACGCACAGATTGCCAGTGTGTCAAAGCTCTTCTCCGGCAGTGGAACCTCATTTGGGGCACCGCTGAACTCGTCCGTGGCTTATTTCGATGCCTCCATACCGGGAACCTTGCCGGTAAGGAACTCGTTCTCAAGACAAGCTTTCCGAGTCACTCTTTAGTTCGTATGTTTCTAGGTGCTCAACCGAAAGTGTGTGGAATCCGGCATCAAAACTGCTTTAGCGCTGGGCTGCCGGGTGAATGAGGTCTCCATGTTCGATCGCAAGCATTACTTCTATGCGGATTTGCCGGTAACTAACAGGAGTTTATATTAAAGCAATATTTTAATGTTTAATGTACTTTCCAGAACGGCTACCAAATTACCCAGCAAAGAGCTGCCCTGGCTAACGATGGCATCATGAGCTTTCCAGTGATAACGCCCGGGAAAAAAGTTTACTACAAAAGCGTGAAACTTCTCCAACTGCAACTGGAGCAGGACAGCGGAAAGTCCCTGCATGACGAGCAGCTCAAGCGAAGTCTGGTTGATCTCAATCGAGCTGGACTGCCGTTGATGGAGCTGGTGTTTGCCCCGGATCTGGAAACGGGTGAGGAGGCTGCCTCGTTGGTCAAGGAACTGATGCTGATACTGAGACGTCTGCAGACCTGCAGCTGCAAGATGGAAGGTACTTTAATCCTCTCTCTTATCCTCCATTTTACTAACTCCCTGCTTTCTATAGAGGGTGCCCTTCGTGTGGATGCCAACATATCCATTCACCAGGAAGGCGAACCACTGGGCGTGCGCACCGAAGTCAAGAACATTGGCTCGGTTCGCAGCATTTCGCAGGCCATCACGTACGAAATAAACCGACAGCTGGAAACGGTGGCCAATGGCGGATTAATCACCAATGAGACGCGATCCTGGGATGCGGAGAATAGGCGCACAGTGGCCATGCGTGACAAGGAGGTGCTGCAGGATTACCGATTCATGCCGGAGCCCAATCTCCCACCGCTCCATGTGAACCTCAAGCCAGGATCAAAGTCCACTGAAGATCTGCTATCGGTGGCTGCGCTCAGCGAGGAGATACCTGAACTGCCAGAGGACACGCGACAACGCCTGATGGAACAGTACAATTTGAATGCAGATACTTCTATTATTTTGGTGGTGCGTATATATGGTATATACAACGGCTATATCTTTTCAGAACTATTTTTCTGTGTTTTTCAGAACGAACCTGTTCTCCTCGATCATTTCCTGAGCATCAGCCGCAGCTTGAGCCAACTGCCTAACAAAGTCATTTACAATTTCCTCATCAACGACTTGCTGACCTACTGCAACAAGCTAAACCTGGATGTGGAGGATTGGTAACACATAATAACTTACTAAAGTACGATTAATCAATATATCCTTGCGTTTCAGCTCCATTAAGGCTGATGATTTGAGGGATATCCTAAGCTGCCTACACTCGGAGCAGATAAATATTCAAGCTGCTCGCCAGCTCATAGAACTTCAGCAGCAGAACCCCGCAGCTAAAGTCAGTGAGGTGGGTCCAAAGAATCCACTTAAAGCGAATTATTTCCTAATGAGTTTCCACGGCTCTCTTTTAGCTCATTGAAATCAACAACCTGCAGCAGATATGCAATCCTGAGGCCATCGAGGAGCTCTGCCGGCAGGCGATTGCCAACCAGGCCAAGGCTGCCCAGCAGTACCAAAAGGGCAAGGCCAAGGCTCTTTTCGCCATCGTGGGCGAAGTGGCCAAGCTCTCGAAGCAAAAGGCCAACATGAAGATGGTCGTAGAGTGCCTGGAAAATCAGCTAAAGTCCGCCAAGAAATAGGAAATCGTCTGGATAGTTACTGTGTTCATTGGAGGTGTGTTATTCTCTTGTATATATATATTTTATAAAACTTGCACTGTATATAGGATTAGATATGGCTAAGGTTAGGGCTTAGTGGCTTTGTTTCGTGCTGACTAGTTTCGGTGTTTCCGGCCAATAAATGTAAATGCAACTGATCGTGATGAGATATATAGTTCGGTGTTCTCCCTCGCAGCAGGGAGAATCGGAACTTGTGACCCTTTAATGCGTATAGTTGGATATAGATGGCATCGAATGCGACTGAATGGAACGCACTATATTCGATTGTCTATCGGGGCAGACAATGAACAGCTGGAATTGTACTAAGGCAAACGAGAACGAATGAAGGTCCAAGAGGCCTCTCTAAATAAATGCAGGTGGCAGTGAGCGTTACGTCTTCTTCTTGGCGGGATCAAGTTTAACCAAAATTTGCTCTCTCTAGTCGCGATCGTAGTCCCGGCAGCTGGAGGGCGGCAGACTCATAGAGACAGCCGAATCGAGGCTGAAAGAGGTCATTAATTAATGTAAAGAGTATAATAAGGCTACCCCCCACCACCCTTACTCACCGCCGACTCTCGCTCTCCAGGAGGTGGGCATCCACCGGATGCTGGGACACATTCCTCAGGGAATCCCCCAGAGTGCTCCTCAGGTGCTGCATCTCCCGATTGGCCTTCGAGCTGCGCAGTATATACTGCTGTCGCCGCTTGGCCTCCTGAGCCAACTGCTCGCGCAGCATGGAGATCTGTCATAGAATTTGAGCTTTGTTAGAGTGCATCCTCATTGTTATTATTGTTCCAAATGCTCACCTGATTCTCCAGCCGTAGAACCTGCTGGCGGTGCGACTGCTCCCTGGCATCGAGCAGCTTCTCCGCGTGCATCTGGGCACTGCGGTAGCGATCCGAGTCCATGCCATCCACACACTTGGTGCTGTCGTTCATCCGCGCCTTGCAACGCGCCAACTCTGACTCCTTCTCCGCCAGCAGCGTCTCCAGGCGTCGTACTTTGAGGCGAAGATCGCGCGTCTCCTGCTCGATCACACTGTGATCTAGGCCACAATTGAAGGAGCCTCCGCCAACGGTGCCCCCATTGCCTCCGGCCCCATCGTATCGATTGGAATCGAATTCCCCTGAATCGTTTGCTCCTCCGTAGTAGGAGTTGCTCTTCTCGGCTCGATCGTACGCGTTTCCGCCGGAGAATTTGCTCTTCCGCTCGCACTCCAGCTGCTTCACCTTGTCCTGCAATGTCTGCAGCTTGCTTCTTAACTCTGACCGCTCCCGCTGCGTGGATTTCAGCTGCCTGCTGAGCTCCTCTTCGCCACCTCCGCCTCCATTTCCGTTGGTCAGGGGCTTGTCGCCGCCGCTCTCCTGGTTCCACTTGGCGATGCGCAGCTGCGACTCTAGGGCGGAGCGCTGCACTTCCAGGTCGGTGACCTGCTCCTGCAGCCGCTGGTTGCCATCCAGCTGGGCCTGCTGGCTACGGCGCAGTTCATTGAGATTGGTCTGGGCGCTGTCCAGCCGCTCGGTAAGGATACGCTTTTCGTTCTCGGTGGTCTGCAGGGACTTCTGCAGCAGCTTCACCTTGTCCTCGTTGGTCTGGGCGCAGTGACCCTGCTCGGAGAGCTCCTTTTGCAGGGTCTTTAGTTCGCCTCTCAGCTGGGTTTCGCCCACGGCGGCCTTCTGGAGGCGCTCCTTTAGCTGATCCACGGTGGACTTGAGGGCAGTGCAGCGATCTTCCAGTTGTGTCATGGCCCTATTTTGGTTCTCCAGTCGCTCGGCCATCTGACGGATGCTGCAGTCCTTCTCTTGGAGCGCCATTTGGAGACGTGTGAGGTCGCCCTCCATGGCCACTCGCTGGAGATCAAGTTTACTGGCCCTGCCCTCCACCTTGGCCAGTTCCTCCTGCAGCTGGCGCTTGTCATTCTCCAACTTGGAGCACTGTTGGCGACTCTTCTCCAGACGATCCTCGTTCTGGGCATTCTCCTCCGAGGTGGCCGCCAGCTGCATCTCCGTTTGGGCCAAGCGCTCCCGCAGCATCATCAGCTCGTCGTTACGGTGTTTTAGCTTCTCCTCCAGTGCCTGGATAGCGGAGATCTTCATCTTACGGTCCGTTTCCAGGTTGCTCTTTTCCTCCTGGAGGTTTCTCAACATGGCCTGCAACTTGCCCAGCTTGGCATCGCACTTCACCTGCTGTTCGGCAGCATCTTGTAGCTGCTTTTTGGCTGCACCCAGTTGGGACTTGTAGTCGTCCTTCTCGCGCTCCAGCTGAGCCACCTGGTGCATCAGGTTTCGGACTCCCTTCCTCACCAGGTCTGGGTCGACATCGATGGGTCCATCGGGACACTGTGAAGTGCTCCTGTTATCGTAGTCTCCGCAGCTGCGGGAGGGACTGAATCTCCTCGAGGGACTTAGCAAGCGGTGGGAGAGATTTACACTGCCGTCCACCTGGATTCCGGCGATTCTTCGGAGCGTGTGTACCACCGAGGAGAGCTTCTGTTCCGTGTCCCGCTTGTGCAGCTCCACACAGGACAGCTGCTCATCCAGAGCACGAATGCGTCCTTCGGCTCCGCCCAGGCGGGCCTTCAACTCCTGGATCTGCTGGGTGGCATCTGCCAAGCAGACCTCCAGGTTGTGCTTCTGATCCTCTAGCCGTTTCTCCCGGCCGCGACCCTCCTCCAGGCGCTGGGCCAGCTCTTGCTCGCGCGCATGGAAGCGGTGCTCCTCCTGGTTGTTCTGACAGCGAGCCCGTCCCAACTCCTGGCGCGTAGCACAGAGATTGGCCTCCAGGTCGGACAACTGCTTCTTAATTTGGCAGAGCTCCTGCTGGGCCCGCTCTTTCAGCTCCACTTCGGCGACCAACTTGCACTGCAGCTCCTTGCCGCCCTCGTCCTTCTGGGCAAACTCCACCTGAGCCTTTTGCAGCTGGGCCTTTGTGGCATTTAGATCCTGGGTGGTCTTTGTAAAGTGATTCTCCGTCTCCTTAAGTATGGTGCTCAGCCGAGTGCGCTCGTTCTCCAGGGAGTTCTTTGAGTCCTCCAGGTTGCTGATCTTCTGCAGGGCCTCCTCGATGGCGCGCGCCTGCTCCCGCTTGGCGCTCTCCACTCGCTTGACATGGTCGCGCAGCTCCTTGTTGCTGCCTGAGTACTTGTCCCGCTCAATGTTGCTGTCCGCCAGTTGCCGGCGGCTGTCCGTCAACTCCTTACGCAGACTGTCGATGAAGCCCTCAGCTGGAGGAAAAGAAGATTTCCATTTAGATAGGGAATTAGGAGATGGTGCAATTGTACTCACCCTCCTTAGATTTTCGCAGGGCGTCCTGCAACTCGTTGTTGGTGCCCTCCATCTTGTCCTCCTTCAGCCGGATCTCCATCTTCAGCTCCTCACTGACCCGGCATAGGGTGTCCCTCTCCTCCCGGATGCTACTGAGCTGCAGCTCTTGTTTGCGGATGCATTCCTCTAGTTTAATCCTGTGGAAGATGCACTATGATTCTCCATATCCAAAAATCCTAGGGGGCAATGGCACTTACCTGTGCTCCTCCTCCTTGGTGCGCATCTGCACGATCTCATCCTTGAGCTGGGCAATTCCCGCCCTCTGTTTCTCATCTCTGGCGTTGGCTTCTCGCCGGCTGCGATCGAGGGCCTCCTGCTCGGTCTTTAGATCCCTGGATACGGCCTCCAGACGCTCGGCCACCGCCTGCTTGTCTCGATGGGCAATCAACAAGGCCTGCTGCTTCTCGCTCTCAGCCCGAATAAGGGCTTCCTCGTGCTGCTGGACAAGGCTCTCGAGATGGGCCTGTAAAGTAGCCAAACGCTCCTGCAATTTTTCGATCTCGTCATCCTTGGCCGTTTGCAGGGCCTGTAGAGCCTGCTGCATCCGCTTCTCGAGGGCTGTCCTCAGCTGGAGCACTTCCTCACCATGTCTCTTGGCCGCATCCTCAGCAGCAGCTTGGAGGTTGGCAATCTTTTGGTTGAAGTCACTCTCGGCGGCACGGGCTACGTTGATGAGGTGCGTCTTGGTTTCCTGTGCCTTCCGTTGGCATTGCTCGAGATCCTTCTGCAGCCGGGCCACATGGTTCTTTAAGGACTCTTCCCGCACCAAGGCCTCCTGGAGATCGCGCTCCAATTGGCTGCGACGCTCCTCAGTGGCCTCCAGGGAGGTGTTCGTATCGAAGAGCACTGACTCGAGAGACTCCTTCTCTGAACGCAGAGCAGCCAATAGCTCGTTCAGGCGATGGGTATCCTTCTCGTGCAGATCGATGACCACCTGCTTCTCCTCCACATCCTTGACCATTTCCTCGAGGTTCCTGTTCAGGCGACTGTTCGTCTCGGTGGTTTGCTCCAAGCGCTGGCGAGTCCGCATCAGCTCCTCGTTTAAGGCCTCTTTCTTGCGACACATGGCCGTAAGTTGGTTGTGGATGTCGCCGCGATCTCGTGTGACGCAGGCCAGATCCTGCAGGATCTTTTCCTTCTCCAGCTGCAGGCACTTGAGCTTCTCGCCGGCAGACAGGTTATCCGTCTCCAGCTCCAGCCTTGCCTTGTCCAGCACCGCCAGCTCCTTCTTAAGCTCTCCGATCTCGGTGCACTGGTCGGCGGACTGGAGTCGCAGCTTCTTGCGCTCCTCCTGTGCCTCCTGCAGGCAGCATTGCACGCTCTTCAGCTCGTCAGTGGTGGAGCAACTGTTGCTGGATAGCTTCTCGTGCTTCTCCTGCAGATCGCACTTCTCCAGCAGCAGCTTGTCCAGATCGTACTCCAAGTCGGACTTTTGCTTCTCGAGCAGATTGATAAGGTTATCCGACTCGATGCGCTGCTGTTCCAGTAGATCTCGGTTTAGGCTCACCCTGTTCAGCTCCTCGCGAAGGGAGATGGTCTCCTCCCTCAGGCGACTGCTGCGATCCTCCTCGGATCTGTTGGCATATAAAGGGCTTAGCGGTCTTCGTTGGTCTGGGAATTAAAGCTCTTACCTCAAGTTTAGTTCGGTAATGTTTTTGTCCTTTAGAATGCGCTGGATTTCCAGCTCCACGGCCTTCTTATCCTCCTCCATGGAATCGATACGTTTCTGCAGTTTTCCATTGCTCAACTGGAGCTTCTCATAGTCTCCGCTTAGATTCTCAAACTGAAGGAAGTGAAAGGGGTTTGGGGTTATTTACACATCTAATTTAAATTACT